GGGAAATTCCTCTGCTGCTCCTATGGATAACAACAGTGTTCCTGTAACAGGCAGAACAAAAGGATCATACCAATCATTTGTGTGTAAGATTTTGTTCCTGTCCCACAGCTGAAAGAGAGATGAGTATACAATAAGTCTATCAATGACCAGACAAAAGACTTCCCATACAATCCACAGCAGTTTACTGAATCACTGAAGTGTGTAAAATAGGTTGGTCATCACTGTGACTAGTAGCTCACATCTTTGAATTACAGATATTACAAGGTCTTTCCTCTTACCCTCTTAACTGTTTATACATTCTTTTCTGGTCTTTCCATTACCTCAGGGCAAAAGCTATTCTTATATCATTCAAAAGTTTTACATTACACTGTTTGTAGCCTTGACGAGTGGATACTGTTTATAGATTCAGTATGGCAGCATCTGTGCAGAGAAATGGAATTAGCATTCCAGGTGAGTAAGATATTCAGGAAAATACACTCACCTGAAGTGTTAACTCTGTTTCTCCACATTGTTGCTGCCTGCCCTGTGGAGTATATCCATCATGTTCTCTTTCTTTTATTTCAAATTTCCATCACTGCAATATTTTACATTACAGTTTCACTATTTGTGGTTTTAAAGTTTCCTTTTTTTATTTTCAAGCTTACCTAAAATATTTGTTCACCTTTATTCTTTACATCTATGAAGTGTGCACAACAAAAAGCATGATTTTTTTGAAAAAAAAGCATAATACTTTGGATGCTGGAAAGCTGAAACAAAAGCTGAGGATGCTGGAGAAACTCAGCAGGTCTGGCAGCATCTGTGGAGAGAGAAAGCAGAGTTGACATTTCAAGTCTGACATAACTGTCTTTCAGATCTGAAGGAGGCTTGAAAAGTAATGGGTTTTATGCTGCAGCAAAATGAGGGAAATGTGTTATTATGAATCTTTTCCCTTTATCAATACAATTTTGCCTGTCCAACAATTCAAGTATTTTCTGTTTATATTTTAGATTTAAGCATTTACAACATTTTTGCATGTAGCATCAGAGCTATTTGAAGAAAGTCAACACACTGCTTTAAAAGGAGTGTGCCCTTTTTGCTCTTAGCTTTGAGGAGAAGACATCTTTATTGGTTTAGTATGAACGCTGGGGTACCAGTTACGGTGTCCTTTGCGTTGTTCATTAACGCAATATTCCAGTTGAACATCGATCAGAATTACGTCAGTAAGAAATCACTATTTCAGTTTCTGAGCTGACTGAGGTTGGTTTCTACACTGTGAATTGCTGGGTAGCTCCGCTGGTGAGTGACACGAACAGCGCAGGTTCAATGTGTCAGGTCAGGTTACCATCAGGTTTCTGTCATCTCAACCTCACTTGAGGCATGGTGACCATCAGGTAAAACTCATCATTCATTGCCTCAATCTCTGTTTCTCTCTCAAGACAGTGCAGGTTATGGCGACTTTGACTTTTTTTTTTCAGTAGAGATCTATCTCCAGCAGAGGGGAAGGAGTTTTGAAGGCAGATTCTGATGTGAGTTTATTTCCAGTGGGGTCTTTTACCCGAAGCAGCAATGCCTATGTTATCCTTTGTAACATAAGAAAGTTGGTGTCGATATTGTGGTATTGAAGAATGGAACAAAGTTATATTGCAGTTAACTGTTATGTTGTTGTACAGACATTACATTTCTCAGGTACCTAATTACCTGCACCAATGTCAACGAAATAAATGACAAGAGAGGAGTACGATCCCAGTCCGGTGTCATGTTTCAAATGATTCCCTGCAAGATGGAATATCAGGTCATATGCCACAGGTCACAGTGATGACATCATGAACATAAAAGCAAAATTCTGTGGATGCTGGAAATAAAAAGAGAAAATGTTGAAAATTCTTCAGAAGAAGAGCCATATTGGATTTGAAATGTTGGCTCTGTTACCCCTCCACATATGGTGCCAGACCTGCTGAGTTTCTCCAGCAATTTCTGTTTCTCTAATATGATTATGTCTATTAAAGGTGTACTGGTATACAGACTGTTAGATATGACAGAACAGCTTCAGCTATCATGTCTTGTGTACTTGATGCTAAGAGTTGAGGAGAAATATTTTCTCTCAGAGGGTAGTGGGAGTCTGGAACTCACTGCCTGAAGGGGTGGTTGAATCAGAAATTCTCATAATCTTTAAGCACTATTTAGATTTTCACTTGTTATAACCTGTAGAGCTATGGACCAAGAACTGGAAGATGGGATTAGCGTAATCAGATCTTCATTGTCTTGTGCCAACATGATAGCCAAATGATCTCTGCCTGTGCTGGTAATTGTGTATGAGTGTCTGAGCCTTTGAATTAGCCTGTTATTCAGATTTTACTGAGGCTCTCAGGTTTCTATGCCTACTCCAGATATTCCCCAGCAAACTCTGAGCCAAGTTTACCATTCAGGCCAGAGAACAAACTGTCAACACCTAAAGATGCCCAAAAGTCCACTTTGAGAAAAAGTAATCAAATTGAAATGTAAATGCTGATTCACTCTCTGCTGATGCTGAGTATTTTCACTGTTTTCTGCTTACATCTCAGATTTCCAGCGTTCTCAGTGTTTTGCTATTTTCATATTATTTTTGAGGCTGATTGTTCTGGATGTGTGCCAACATTGCCCTGATGATGAATGACATCTCAGACTGACAAGCCCCTCATTGGAAAGCCCCAACTAATGACTTGCTGTGTGATGCAAGGAAAACAAGTTTATTCATATTGTATACAGAAAGAGTCATCCTGAAAACGTTACTCATTATTTACATTAACAGTCAATTGTCGGAAAAACCCATCTGTTTCACTAATGTTCTTTAGGGAAGGAAACTGCCATCCTTACCTGGTCTGGCCTATAGGAGACTCCACACCCACAGCAATGTGGTTGATGCTTAACTGCCCTCTGGGCAATTAGGGATGAGCAATAAATGCTGCTTAGCCAGTGACGCCCTCATCCTACAATGAATAAAAAAAAATTGAGTTTCAAATGGGGAGCTATGAAGTGGTGAAGAGTGAATGTCAAATCTGCCTACACACTGCAATTGAAGCTGATAACGTGATGGTTCTATCCACTTTACACTCTTTGTCAAGGACCCTGTATGACTCTATGACTCTGTGGCCTGGTCTTTTAAAGCTGCTGGGGTCCACTGTTACACAACCAGATCCCTGAGTTAATTTATATTTCAGCAACTAGAAATGAAGCATCTTTGTAATGCTGCTTACACGTAGTATGATGCTGTTCAGTTGATTTACTCACTTTTTTATTCGCTCCATGGGATACTGGCAACACCAACAAGCCAGCATTTGTTGTGGTTCCTTAACTGCCCTTGTAGCGAGCGTATTGCTAGGCCATCTTGGTGGGGGCGGGGGGTTTAAGAGCCAAGCACATTTCTGTGGGTCTAGAGTCACATGCAGAGTGGACTGGGTAAGGATTTCCCACCACGGGATCTCAAACAACGACAAGACAGAGTACAGGAAAGAGATAGAGTGCTTGGTGGCATGGTGTAAAGGTAACAATTTCTCCCTCCAATGTCAGCAAATGAAATAGGTGGCCATTGACTTCAGGAAGTGGAGTGGAAGGCATGCCCCTGTCTAATTGATGGAGCTGAGATGGGGATGGTCGAGAGCGTCATCTTCTGGGAGTAATGATCACCAACAATCTGTCCTGGTTCACCCATGTTGATGCTGAAGTCAAGAAAGCACAACAACATGGCTACATCTAAGGAAGTGTCATTGGACCAGAAGCATTCATTCTGATTTCTCTCCACAGATGCTGCCATACCCTCTGAGTTTTTCAAGCAATTTCTGTTTTTATAATGCCTCTGCTTCCTCAGGAGGTAAGTCAATTCAGCTTGTCCATAAAGACACTTGCTGATTTTTATAGCTGCACCATAGAAAGCGTTCTATCTGGGTGCATCACAGCTTGGTACGGCAACTGCTCTGCTCAGAACCATAAGAAACTACAGAGAGTTGTGTACACAGACAATACATCATGCATGCCAACCTTGCACCCACTGACTCCATCTATACTTCTTGCTTCCTCAGGAAGGCAGCCAACATAATCAAAGACCCTCCTACCCCGGTTATAATCTCTTCCATCGGGCAGAAGATACAAAAGTTTAAACACACGTACAAACAGACTCAGGAACAGCTTCTTCCCTGCTGTTATTAAACTTTTGAATGGACCTCTGAAATTTTAAACCTTGCTGTTTGTACACCTTCCCTGCAGCCATAACATTATATTCCTCGCTCTGTTCTATTACCCTAATGCACTTTGTATGGTGTGATCACCCGTACTGCACACAAAACAAAACTTTTCACTGTACCTAGGTACATGTGACAATAACAAATCAAATCAAAAAATTAATGAACAAGCAATATTCTTATAAAAACACAATATTTTTATGGTCAAATTTTCAATTCCAGATTTTATGAATTAAATTTAATTTCCCACAGCTGCCTCAGTGGATTTTGAACACATGTCCCCCATAGCATTGGCCAGACCATTATCTACTGGCCATTAAAACAAAAACAAAGTTGCTGGAAAAGCTCAGCAGGTCTGGCAGCATCTGTGAAGGAGAACACGGAGTTAACATTTCGGGCCTGGTGACCCTTCCTCAGAACTGGCCAATGGAATATGAGGATGGTATCCCAATCTACCCCAATGTAATAATTCAGTAAAGAAAAAGTTTCCGTTTCCAGTGTAGTTGAAAAATACTTCTAGAAGCTTAACATTTTGATGTAATAGCATGACATTGTGCACTGATTTATTAATACTGGATAATTTCAACATAGTGTGAAATTGCTTCTTAGGAGATATATATTTTTAAGCATAACTGACTGGATGAAGGAAGGAAAAAATGTCCTTTAATGGACTTCCTGGCTATGCTTAACCAGTTATGACACGCTTGTGGTTTTAGCTCTTAGTCACAGCTAAATCATGCTCTAATTAACAGAACATTGGGATTAAACACTATAAAAGCCACAGGGTGAAAGCCAGAGATACATGCTCCTCTCTCAACCTTCAGTTGAGAACAAAACAATGAAGTGCCTTTGGTTTTCAGTTTTATTTGTTACACTTTATGTTACATTTTCTTCTGCTGTTCCACTGCTTTCAGAAATAGAGAAAAATGAAAAGGACTGGCAATTTGCAGAGGTATGGTGTGGAATGCAACTAACAAAAACAGTGGAGAGATGCCTTTAAGTAGATGCATCTTTCTTCTTTCACAGCTAATTTCAAGTTTAATAATGTGAATATTTTTTCTTTGAAGACATATTTGAACAGATTTTACAAGCTTGAAGACAGATCACCAAAGTTTGCGAAAAAAATGGAAAACTATGTATCAAAGAGTTCCCTATCAGATAAGATTAAGAAAATGCAAGAATTTTTTGGCCTTAAGGTAACTGGAAATCTGGATTCTGCAACAATGGAAGTAATGGAAAAGCCTCGATGTGGAGTCCCTGACGTTGCTGAATACAATCTCTTTCCTAGGAAGATTAAATGGAAGAAAAATAATATCTCATACAGGTAATAGTTTCACAATATTTCCATGAGTAATTGGGCCAAAACTTGCTCAAAATGTTAAAGAGTGTTATCAGCACACATTAATAGTAATTAACAAATAAACTGGCAACTTAGTTGTGGATCTTCAGATCATGCTACATTATCATCCATTTTATAGAAGTAGCATCTTAGCCTCATCATTGTTTTTTAAAGAATTTGCTGGACTTGTATATGATGTGCTGATTAAATTCACTGTCAAAAGTTAAATCTGATAATTAATAATTAACCCAATAATTATGGGATAATGTTAAGTTATTGCTGATCAAGTTCGGTGTTAATTGACAGGAACAATTACATCTCTTCAGGCTCATTCATACATGCAGTCTATTCTTATCAAAGTCAAAGCGCTCAATTTGATTCTACTTCTTGAAATTCTTATGAATCTATTTTGTTCCTTTTCTCTTACCTGCTTGATCCAATCTTCCCATTTGCTTATTTATCTTTTCTGTATCTGGTTTGATCTACTTCCTCCCGCATTCCTCTCATCCTTTCTCAATTCTAAACCTCCTTGGTTATGGAGGAAGATGGTTCTGGCTGTTCACTGACTCTCTTTGCCATTGGTGTGACGTTATCATTTTGAACAGCACATGATGGTTTTGAGCGGAAGCAGGGAAATGTCTGTCTGATCATATACTTTACACAATGCCCTGCGACAGCAGGTTTTGCTTCAGAATTTTTAGCACAATATTTCATTTTTCTGTTTTTTTTAATACAGAATTGTAAACTATACACCAGACATTTCACCTGCGGATGTGAATACAACAATTAAGAATGCCTTTAAGATTTGGAGTGATGTCACACCTTTAAACTTCACAAAAATCTACGAAGGAGAAGCTGATATCATGATTGCTTTCGGGGCTCAAGGTATTAAAAGATTCTTTTACTTTAGGTTGAATTTGGAAATCAAGATCTCATAATTATTTTGTGAACACTGTTACATTAAAAGAACACACATAGAAACTGTGTAAGTAGAGTTCAAGGCAAATAACACAGACACTTACCATGACCTAAGTTTGTGTGAATATATACGCACCTTAAAAAATACACACAGAGAAACACTTTATGCACGTAAATGTCTAGCTGGCAGAAGAGGTGTGACCCAAACTGGCAGCAATGTTGCCAGTGAGTCCTAGAGGAAAGGATAAATTGAGTGGTTGTAAGAGAACTTGAAGTGGAGGGAGGTCTCCAGTATAACAGGTCACATAAATAATAGGCTGAAAACAGAGAAAAGTGAAGAGAGTGGAGTTACAGTCAGAAATTGTGTTGAGCCCAGCAGGTACACGGGGTGTTAAAAGGTTTTAATAACTAAAGCAGGCCAGAGATTTAAGAAATGCGTGTGAGTGAAACAAATGGACATATTTGGTGCATAGCCCTTGTTAGTGTTTTTCAGACAAACGTTGAAATGAACAGATGGAATAAAGTAATGATTTAACAATCAATGTAATAGCAGTCACTAATAAATGGCTGCAAGGGGGTCAAGACTGGGAATTAAATGAATGAATTGATACATCTCTAGGAAAGTTAGGGAACATTGTGGCTGGCCAGGAATAGCCTTTATTGGGTGTGAATGAAATCACTTCAATGGTAAATCAGGATATAGTAAATGGTAAGCAGATAGTGGAGACTTTGTGGACTGAGCTAATAACCAGGAAGATATTTAAATGTTGTATATGTCATATAGGAACAGCTGCAAAGTGAAAAAAGTATAAATCTAGAGGTTAGGGAAGCTTGTAGTGATGTGTGTTTACCTCCAGGGGAACATTTTACCTGATGCAGTGATGGTTATGTTCTCTCCCATAAGAAACTGGGTATGGATATCAGGCTACTGAAGAATCTAAGAGGCATTTATCACAACTGACTATAATATATAAACATTACATTGCTCGGGGATGTCAGTGTGTGGGCTAATATTAAGCTATTAGGTTACAACAGAGGATCATCCTTCAAGTGATCTGAGGTAAGATGAGGTAAGATATGAGTGTGTTATACCCTCCCATAACATCCAAATTACAGCAATGGTATCATGGGCATGTGGACATACTGATTGTGGTACACAGCACAATATGTAACAAAGATAAGATGATTTAGATTCTCATATCATTTGTGGTAAGCAGTCTACTGATATCAGCAAGTTGGTGAAATTTTTGAGTGTGGCTGTAGCAATTCTGCACAAAAGTATTTCTTAAAAGAAACAAAGGTGAATATTGCATTAGATTGTAATCTGAGATTGCTAGAAACTTTTAACCCGTGATATTAAGGGATATGTTACAAATACTGATGTGGATTTAGCTTGCAAATTAGTCTAAATTTCATTGAATGGTGGGACATTCTGAGGGGGATAATTAAATAATTGCTGTGCCAATGTTTTGAATATTGAGTTGTGGGTAGTGAGGTGCAACGGGGTATTCACACAGTAGCATGTTACAGAGACTGGCATCCTGAAAGTAGACAAGTGGACTGGCATTCTCTTACAGGATTGGCAGCACGGATCATGAAGTTCATAAGTTGTTCACCTGATAAATGTGTGGAGAGAAAACCAAAGAACATCAAAAAATTAGCATTTCATGTTTACTTATCTTAAAATTGGTTGCAATTGGCATGTAGCCAGCCAGTCACAGGTTCTGTATTAACTTTGATAATTCTTTGCTCCATTATTTCTAGAACACGGTGATAATTATCCCTTTGATGGACCTGATGGATTATTGGCCCATGCTTTTCCCCCTGCAGCTGGCATTGGAGGGGATACTCACTTCGATGAAGATGAGACCTGGACAATGGGACCGAATGGTACAAAAACTGACCAGAGTTATTAAACTGGTTTAGTGGAGAAAATGCGAAAAAATTAATAGGATGTTTCTATTTGGAGAACTATTTATATAAGTTGGTAGCTGCAGATGTTAATGTTGGAAGATTTCCCCCTTGCTTTAACTTATGTCCGTATGAATGCTACCTTAAGAATTACAATTTAATTTTATGTCACCAAGAAATGTCATTGGATTAGAAATTTATTAAAGCTTTTCATTATGACTGATATCCAGTTCTAAATATTTGTCCAGTTACAATTGTTATTATTAATTTTTGGGAAAGTGTTATAAATGCTTTAATTGGGACATCTGAGTCAATCATACCTAAGAGAAAGTATAAGGTACTTACATGGATTTCAGGATTCAAGTTTATATTCTGGTTATGTTCCATTCGATTAATATTTAGCTGTTAGTTTATGTTAATTTAAAACCTGCCGCAGAGGTGAATGTGTTTGAAGATATTTTAAACGGGCCTGCTTTGTGATTGTTTCGTTTAGGCTATAACCTGTTCCTTGTGGCTGCCCATGAATTTGGCCACGCACTGGGACTCGCTCACTCTCGTGATCCAGGTGCATTAATGTACCCGACCTATTCATACACCAGTATGGATGAGTTCCGCCTTTCTTGGGATGATGTCAAGGGAATCCAGGCTCTGTATGGTAGGTTTAAATCTTAAACGTGCGCAGAAGTATTTCTTCCTGAACAATTAGTGACAATACAGATAGTTAAAGAGCTGGTTCTCTCCTACTGCGATAACATCTTGAGATATTATTGCATTGTAAAAATGAATTATTTTTATAAACAGTAATTTATCCATAATAAGCTAGACCATGAGGCCTTAATAAAGGATTAAGCCATTTAGTGATAACTACAATATGTTCAGTGAACAAAATATGGAAACTCAAGAGAATGGCATAAATTTAACTCATCCTGTTTCCCCAAATACTGCAGCTTAGCTCTGGAGCATTAAAAATAATTTTGAAAAAGTTTCTTTCCTCCTACCTGTTTAGTACATTGGCTGCTCTCTCCAGCATAAATTCACCACTAGACTGATATTATCTGTAATCTTCAATCATGAAGTTGTAGTAAAACTTAGAGTTATCATTTAATTAGGATTCGACGTGAGTGTTAATCTGCTTTAGTGTGAAACTACTAACACTGCCTTGAATGCATTTTCTGCATTGTTTGCTGATATGGGTGGTTACTTTATATTAGGTAAATCAAATGAAGTCAATCCAAGCCCCAAACCACCACCACCACGGACCCCAGAGAAATGTGATCCAAACTTGTCCTTTAATGCAGTTGCTGGGCTTCGGGGAGAAATGATGTTTTTCAAAGACAGGTATTAAAAAATTTTGAATATATCACAACATTTTATTGATGTTAATATTGATTTCTCTTATGTGGAAATGATTTACCAAAGGTATTTGCAATTTTTTTGGTGATCATTCTTGCCTTTTGACTTTCTCTGTTATCAGTATGGTTTTCTTTTTGTCTGCACATCTGCAAACATTAGGTACTTGTTCCATCGAGATCTAGGGAAATTATGGCAAATTAAATCAAAATACTTTATTGGATTCAACAATGAAAACCAATTCAGCCTGGCTAATGTGACACGGTCACACTAGTGGCTGGTTGTAGAATAAAAGCATTTAACAAGAGCCTAGATCTATATAATGCCTTTATTTGTCATCTCAGGATGTCTCATAGTACTTTAGAGTGAATGAAGGGTAGTCACCATTGTAATGTAGAAGTGATATTCACTCAGCTTTGCCACCAGTATCTATCCAGCTTTGGGGAAGAGAAATCTTTTAAGATGTGTAATGTACCTTGAAAATACATTATTTGAAAGAAAAAGTTATTAATTTGTGATCGAAAAACACATGATATGACATTCCTCCCTGAAGGTGGTGAGAGAGGTGTCAGGAAGGGGGAATAATTAGATGAGTTGGCCCTGGAAGGAAACTCACCCCCTCTCAATATGGCATCAAATTGTTTCTGAGTGAGAAGATCCATGGCCAACCCTCTTGAGTGGCCATCAATTAAAGCACTTAAGTGGTTAATTCATTGTCATTTAAAGGCCTTGATTTGTCACCTCCTCAAATTGCCTTTCTTTTCTCAAAAAGTTGGCCAGTTTCCCAACAGGATAACAAACGCAGCCTAAGCAAAGAATTGCTGGGGGGCTGTCACTTGCCACAGTCTGGAACAGTCTGGGGTAAGGCAAGGTGAGGTCTAGAACTGAAACCCCCTGCCCTTATTTCTCAACAATACCACACTCCACAAGAAGATTTTAAAAGGCACTTGTCTACTTAGTACTGAATCCCCCCAAGAATTAGGTTTGGACCCAGAAGGTAATTGTATTTGAGGGGCCCACAGCTTCTGGCAACCCAGGCCCAGGTCTTTGAAAGGCTGAGAAAGGATGTTACCCTCCCCTGCCAGTTTGGCTTTTGTTGTTTGGTGGGAACTGGGTGATGTTCTCAGGAGAGGAGATGACCACCTAATACAGTCACCTTAAACAAAAAAAGAACAAATGACACAAAGGTCATGTTAAATGCAGAAAATTTATCTCATTATTGTCTAATTTTTGATATATTCTAATAAGTCCTTGTTATCCATCAGGTTTTTCTGGAGAAGAAATGCACAACTGCCTGAGGTTGATTTGACTTTAATTAGATCATTCTGGCCAAAGTTACCTGCACGGATCGATGCTGCGTATGAAAATCGGGAGAGGGATTTCCTGGTTGTTTTTAAAGGTTGGATCATTTTCTTTGCTAAAGAACACAGGAATAGGATTCTGTGAGGATATAGAGCTAGCGGCAGCACTACTGAAGCTTGAGTTCATTTCATATTTTTCGCGTACACGTTTTGAGATTAAAATTCAGGAGGACCGGATTTCGGAATGATAATCTCCTTTAGGATTGGGCCTGTATTATACCGTGTGCAGGAGACTGATCTTCCTCAGTCAATAGAAGTCAGAAAAACACTTCCCTCTAATTGTATGTCTTATAAAAAGAAATTAATGTGAGTGCATTATCAGGAGAGGATTAGCTGTCAAGTTTATCAGCAAAGATGTGATGCTCACACGAGGAGATTGTAGGTTTGAGGAAAGAACAACATTTATTATTATGCAGATGCTAATCTATTCTCTGTAATCCCGCAGGAAACAAATATTGGGCCATCAATGGCTAC